AACTTTAATATCAGTTTAACAAAACAGCAAATGTACAACGTTTCGACAAGGTTTTGTCGAAATGTTGTACATTTGCTGTTATGTTAAACTTATATTAAAGTTTTTCTTCATTACCCATTCAAGCCGTCTCCAGCCAATACTAGTACCTAGCTTGACCTGACACCATTTTGAAAGTTTGGGTCTTAGGTCACTGATAAATCTTTGTCAGTTTATGCAGTTTTTTTATGATTTATAGTCAAGAGTGATGACTACTGCAATCAGTAAAACAGTTTCAAATGAAATTTGCTAAGGAAAATCAATAAAGTTGAAATTCACTAGATAAATACAATGGAACTTTCTGAGCAGCTATATAATAGAAATTCTCACATGAAAGGAATTATTTGTGATGCTTTTTCAAAAGACTCTAGGTTTTGGAAAATTAAATCAAATTATATGAATTTAAAGGAATTTTTATGATGAAACTAGATGCTATTTACAGACATTTTTCCTAAATACATACAATTTAAGTATTACCACTGTGAGAAGGGAAAGACGAATGGATATCAGAAATATCCTCAGAGTCTGGGAAGGGTTACACGTGAGCCAAATTATAACCTAAGTTCAGTATACATAATTGTCATTTGCTAAACATTTGTTAAACTTCTCAACTGATCCGAGTCATTCTGCAGTACCACATCCTCAAAGTAGCTAGAAACAGCCATAAGTTTCATGTCATCAGTAAACCTTACTAATTAACAAGAGAAAGAGATCAATGAATTCTCAAAAAGGGTGAGTTAACATTCTTGTTTTTTCTAAAAGGTGGTCGTGAGGACCAAATATTTCCTTGTTGTCAGTATGTTATAATTTCCCAACATATTTGACAGGAATACATGCTAGACCTACTTGACTGTCCATGGGTGCCAGTGAATACAACTAAGGCTGATAAGCAGCATGTTGACACAACTGCATAATTCTATGCAAAATATACCAAAAAAATACACCATGTTCTACGAGATTTTTCACCTTTGATAAGATTCACAGATTATAGGCATCCAGTAAACATGCTTCTTGACACAGTCAGTACCAGATGGTCTATGGATGAAACTACACATCATAGGACTGTAATTAGTACAACTTGTTTTTTGTTAATTCTTTGTATATTTTTCATAAAGTTATCAAATTACGAATAAACTCAAGTAGTTAAATTGGTTACACAGATTAGATTCCCATAAAATAATCAAAGTTAATGTTTCTTATTATTATTAGCATTTTCGATTATTCCAATTAGCCAAGTAATCAAAATATTGCCATTAAGATTTCTTATTCATATTTTTGATTAATTCAAGGTTGTTCAGCTTAATCAATTAGTTTCATGACTCATGAAAATAATCAAAAAGTCAAAATTAGCATTTATAATTATCCCACATATTGAGATCTCGGGTGAGAATAGAATTAGTTGAATGTAATCAATTAATGAACTCAACAATTGATTATCAAATCCTTCCAATCCACCAGAACTCTAAATTCATAGACTGCTTATCAACCTTATTAGTATTTATTAGCAGTTGAAATCATCCTAAAAGCAGTTACAGTACACATATACAACCCTAATGTGGATCTTTCAATATCTGTAGCAGAGGAAATAATTTATGAACAAGTATGGCATATCAGGATAGTAAACAAGGATAAAATAAGCATTTATATATAAGCTAGATCGTAACAATAACAAAATTATTATTATACATAATCTTCAAGACCAGTTACAAGGCTTCTTAGTAGCATGTTTAGACAAATGAAAATAGAAGGACAATCTAAACTATTTTGTATTACTCAAAACATAGTATTGTTTAATACAGAATATGTAACTATGAAAGGATGACAACAGAATTTTTCTGTTACTGTGCATTACATTAGGTCCCAAGGATGTGAATGTTTACAGCATGTTATCTTAATCACAAAATATATTTAAATATTCCTTTCAATGCAACCGTTGGGGTATACTGTTAGAAAAGGGCTAAGCCTAGATGGCCATAACCAACAGAACTGTCAACAATGTAATTGCTACTGGATACAGATATTGCCAACATTCTGCCTTCATTGCTTGTACCAAAAACAAGCTTTGCCAGAACAGTATACGCCAAGTATTCTTGCACAGTTAGTGAAACTGGCAAAGCATAAATTTTAAATTATTCATTAGCCTTGGATTAATATGAAAGTAGATACATCCTAGTCTACATCATGACTAACACTAACATTGACTTAGGGTGAATCTACTGATAATTTTTTAACTTTAATTAAATTTAAAATTTAAGTGTACAATGACTCGTTACCTTTAGCTTCACAATTTCACAAAACATTTTAAAACCAAAAAGGATGTATTATTCGAAAGAAACATGAATGTATCTGAACTTAAAAATAAAATTAGTACTACAGATAAGACTAAACCCCTGATTTTATCTTTATCCTTATACTATAGTTACAATTACATTTTAGATGTATTCAACTTTCAAGTTATATTTAGTTTAAAATTAAATAAAACTTTAATTAATCTTAACCCTTTTCTGAGTTTCTGTTTTCATACTCAGTTTGTTAGTTGATTACATGTTAGTGCCAAAATAAGATATACGATTATAAATGTAAGCGAAAAAACAGGGTATAATTCAAACATTAAGTCTTACCAAATAAGTATTTAGTAGCTGAATATAAAATTTAGAAAAATCTGAAAGAAAGACAATTTAGTCATTCAATCTCACAGTACAC